TTTTACTGTTTGCTCTGTTTGCTGTGTAAATGCTCAGCAATCTTCATTCATGGGTTTCTCTGAGGCTCAAGGGCAGACTGTACTGCGCGCGAACATCAGACAATTCTTCACTGACTCCTTTTTAGGTGTTTACTCTCCACGCTGGACGTGGGAGACACCTAGTGGAGAGTACCGTAATGAAATAGATCACTTCGCAAATCGTAGATCAATGGTTTTGCCAAACTGATGTTGTCCCAAAATTCTACAAGGGGTCAGGCCGTCGCTTACTTCGCGCAAGATTTCATCTCATAAGGAAAAGCGAGAACGCCGCGAAGTTGATTAAAAACTAGGTCCTAAAGCCAAAAAAAATTGCATTTATTCAGATTAGTCGGTTCTTGGAAAGACGTCTCTAATGACATCATCAAGGAGGAGTACGATCGGATCGTTCAACATCATCATGCCAGAGCTATGAAAGCTCAGAGTTCAAACGTGACCAAGAGACACCTGCCTCCAGAAACACTCGAGCTGACACGACAGCGTGTAGTTTCACAAGCTGCAGGCCATCTCCAACTAACCTACGAACTCGCAAAGCACTGCAGAAAAGCGATAAGAGAAAATGTTAAGATCGGAAGGGCAGCAGTAATGGCCGACACTGAATAGACCAAGGTGAGCATTCGCAACGCCCTCCGAAACCCAGAGAAACAGGACCATGATAACTGCACTCCTACGCCCAGACGGAGCAATTGCAGCTTCCACAAATGCAAAGACTGACGATTACTGCTCGGATCTCTTTCATAGCCACGTCCCCCTGCTCTCATATGAAATAAAAAAGAATGTTTAATATCGTTCTACCGATTCTCTTTTCCAAAATCTGACATGATGTTTACTTTTTATTTTCTGCCTTCTATAAATTTTATGGCAGGGTTTTAAGCGAAATACAACCACAATATTGCTGAGATATTTGCAAAACTCCGAAGAGCAGGTGTCTGCGGTGAGGAACGAATGCGCTACTGTCCTTTCCAGTGAGTAACGTGTTCACCACCACACCATGCGGGTCCCATGTTTCACCTGTCTCTGACATGATGATTCGAGGTAAAAAGAAATAGAACAGCACCAAGCCTGGACAGGATAAGATCTGAACACCTGAAGAACATTCCGCCAGTACTCATGAACACACTGGCTCGAATCTTCAGACTTTACCTGCAACAATGTAAGGTTCCCAATCACTGATTACTAGGCTCGTCACATGTTACCTACAAGAATGTAAGTGTCTTATTCAATGATTACTAGCAAAACTGTGTTATTGTTCAAGAAGGGTGACTTTCACGATATTAGCAACTATAATGCGATCTTCTTGCTGTCTATCGTCTGCAAACTCTTTACCCTATCCACCCTGAAAAAGATTGAAAAAACACTAGACGAAGCCATGCGAGCAAACACGGTTTCGAAAAAGATTCGGTACGATGGATCACATCCACACGATAACAAGACTCACTGAAGTATCGCGAGAGTACAAAAGACCTCTTTGTCTCACCTCTATCGCTTTAAAGAAGGCCTTTGACTCAATTGGGATAGAAGCAGTCATGGAAGCTTTTGATAGTCAAGGAGTCCATACTCAGTACATAAAGATTCTTCGTGAGCTCTACAAAAGTTTCACAACCAAAATATCACCATTCTACAACGATATTAACATCGACGTCTAAACAGGAGTTAGGCAGGGCGATACCATCTCGACAAAATTATTTACCGCCACCCTCCAGAACGTCAAGCGAACATTGTAATAGGATAATATGGTAGTGAAAATCGACGGTCGACAGTTACACCATCTTCGCTTTGCTGATGACATCGTCCTTATAACACCAAACCTAATAGAAAATCAAGATAGTAGGGGTGAGACCAGAAAAGCCATTCGCTGTGTCTAATAATTAACAAAAAAAACTTCTTTCGAAAATCTTTATCAACTGCAATTTGACTAATAATTGAATGTTATTTTTCATTGATTCCTATGAAGAATCCTTGTCATTTAATGAAATGTGTGGGTATGGAAAAATACAGAAGTAGACTTGATAAAAGGTGGAAAATAATTCCAAGTGCTACAGCAGTGTAATTGCATAATGGGCCGTGAGAGCACATGGTAAGTAGTACATATTATTCATGCCCATAAAACGGTAGCGCAAAGTTTCTCCCACAGTCCTCTCAAGTTAAAAATCGCTCAGGTCCTCTATTCAATGAGAAAGGCTTTTTATTGCCCGTAGCCGATGAAAAACTGCACGCGATCAATTGGAGCAGCGACGCAATACGGTAGCCAGGTCGAAATGAGTTGTACGCATGGGTCAGAAACCTAAGGATGGAAGATCACTCAGCATTATATAACACGAAGCCAAAAGACGCCGTTCTATTTACCAAATTGTCCAAAATAAGGTGAGCCAGGCACGTAGTGCGTACGAGCGACAACCGATGGACAAGAGCCGAACTGGATTCCCTGGAATGTCGAACGAACGGGAGGAAGACCACCGACAGGATAGTCAGAGTTCTTCACGAAAACCCTAAAAGAAGTATATAATACTCAAAGCATTCCTCGGGCGAGGAGAACCCACTGGACTACTCTTGCACGCTGCAGTTAGAAATGGAAGATTTTCTAGCCCCCGATCTATTCACCCGACGATCAACAAGGAGAGAGGTGACAGATGATGGGTGATATTTTCATACCGAGCTGGAGCCCAAGAGACATGTTGAAGGCGGGTCATTCGACTTGCGAATACAAAGAGACCTGACCCGCTGGGTGAGTAGTATTTTAAAAAAATGGAAAGAAAAAAAATTTTTTTGTTATTACTTAGGTGTTATTTTTCAGACTTACACGAAATAAGACTGTTATTTTTTCAAGACAAAAACTTTTTATATGGAAGAATGTCTACTTTATTGGAAACACCGCATGAGATTTGAAAAGACTGTCAGGAAAGCTCTTTGATCGCACGGCAGAATATATCGTATCTACAGTATAAGGTAGTCAACGGAAATCTTTGAAGGTGCAGCAACAGAACACAGAAGGCAACGTGAGGCCGATCCAGAAATTTCAAACAAGTTGATGAGGCTAACATAGTTCGCCGTGAACACTACCTGACCCAATGCTTCTAGAGCTTCTAGAGCATGAACCAAAAATTTCGTTAACTGCTTAGCTCCGTTAATCCATTCCGCCCAGGCACCGTTTTGGATTTTTTCGTCGATTGCGGACTTTCTGGATTTTTGAAAATAGAACCTTTTCCCAACAACTGGAGGAATTTAAGTGTTTTACAAAAAACAGGAATCTAGAAGAGACTTTGCTACATCGTCAAATGAATATTAATAATATTTATTTATTTTCTATTTTATTTTGACCCATCTCCACGTCTACTGTGCGGGTCCCAGCACTTCTCATATTAAATTTGTTTCCTCGCATCCATTGTCCACGAAGATCTTCCAAATTTACGTGTGGCTTCGGTTGGTGCTGAGGATTTTCATTTCATCTCGGATGTCGTAGAATGGTGGTCGAGCAATTCTTCCCGAGATAGCCGGGCTGGAGTGTTCCCGGTTGGATTGCAGAGAGTGGTTTTTTTCTCAGACAAGTCCGGTACCAAATTTTTCGACCCAGGAGGGACGAGAGGCTTGCTTGGCCCGGAGCGGAATCGAACTAACACCATGCTCGTGATGAAGGGTATCACTACTACTGTAGCTATCCTCCCCTATGAATGAATGATATACATGCTATTATTTACTATGTGTTGCCATAGTCCATATTGAAAATGCTTTGCTGTGGGCATTTAGAAGTTTTCTGCAGTTACGTTGACTCTGTTTCGGTATTTTCATATCGACATATTCTATATAAAAATCGCGGAGATTAAAATAAATTGACAATAAATTGTCTCAAAAACCGACTTTTATTAAAACTCGGTAACAAGAATCGATAATTTCACAAATGATTGAGCCCACACGTGGTTGGTATAAAACTTTATTCGGCTAGTGTTTCGGCGCCTTTGCCTTTCTCAGAGTCGCCTGGATCCTAGTCGATGGTCCAGAGCTGGTCGTTGTAACATCGAGCCGAATCCAGTGAAAGGCACACCGCCCGAAATGTTTTACCCCACCCTCGTTTTAGCTCATTCATCTAGAAAATTACAACGATGAATTGTTAGTCAAATTACCAGCGAATAACTTTTTCGGAAAAAACGTTTTTGTAAATCATTAAGTGCAGAGAATGGTTTTCCTGACTTCACTCCCACTATTTTGACTGCGTTCACTTAGCTGTCGAATGAATACACGTAGTGCGCTAAAGAAAAACACTGGAACTTAGTGAACTGAATATGGTCACTATACCGTTCATACGGCCGTCTCCTCCAAGCCGTTACGGACCTACGAACACTTTGCGAAGCGGAATGCGTTGAAGATATTGTGAACCGCCTACTGATCGGTGTGGAACGTAGTGAAGTACACATAAATCTGATTAACTGTTGCCGCTCTTACGACAAATATCACATCTTCGTAATTAGCTGTAAAACGAATACGTCTAAACTAAGGCATATATAGGTTATTCATGTGGGAAGACTTTACGACATATGAACTAGAGAAGTGATAAAGTGGATTTTCAAGGCCGACCACCACCCTCACATGGGGACGAGTTTTGGAGCGAGAAACGGAAGCCTTTCCAATTGCATCGATTATCGTTGGTCGGCACTTTTATGACAATCTCTGTCCAAATTTTATCTTTTGCAAGATGCTGAAAGCTGGTAAACTTCTCTTATAAGCTCAAATCTCCGACATATCCGCACATCAACCGATCACTTCGATTCCTCTTCGTCTGAAAGTGCCTTCGTTTACTCTGCTAGTATTTGGCTCAGATGTTTCCCTATAGTTCACAGTTGTTTGTTTTTTTCCTTCGTTTTTCAAAGCAAGCTCTAAATTTGTTACCAATGATGGAAGTTTATAATTGTTCGTAAACATCGTCCAGCCACTCCCACACGACCGCGACAGTCTCTGGTAAGGCAGACCGAATGTCATCCTTTGTCGGATTGCTGCTGCTCCTTCTTGCGTTCTCCCTTACACAAGGTTCGTGGACGCATTTCGTTTCTGAACTCAACAATATGCTAACTTCACTTTTTTCCAGTTTTTTACATTGTTAAAGTTACTAGAATGAAAATTTCACCATAGAAGCTGATGCAGATTCACTAAGCTTGCAATCTCTGGTATTACGTCTTTTGGCATTGTGAATCGCTTATAGAAGTTGTTTAGGGAAAGTATGATTTACAACTGTATAAATAATTGAAAGCAAGGGAATAGCGGAATGACGAGTAGTCGATCAGGAAACAAAGGTGCTGGTTCGAACTCCTCCTCAATTCCATATAAAAACGTACTGGGCTGGCTATCTCCAAGATTTCAAGGAGAATCGACTACGTCGACACTATACGACATTCGTAAAGAGAAATTAAATCCTCAAGCAGCAGACGAAACAACGCGCGCTCGATCTGTTCGAAGACCGTTGTGGACGATGATGACGGCGAGGAAATCGAATCGAATTCGATACCTACTAGGATCCACACAGCAGATGTTATGACAGGTTGTGTAAAATGGAAAATGAAATACATGAGTGGTAAAGAAAGGTTAGAGAAGAAGTCGCATAATGTTGAGCCTTAAACCTGCACGGATTTTTGGGTGATTGATAAAGTTCAGTTGATCATCGCGCTAGAATAGTAATCCATCATGTTACCATACCACTATGAGCTAACAAGAGCAAGAAAGTTCGCAAAGACTATTTGTATCGCGTTAGACCCATTTATCAGAAAAAGTGCTGCGCTGGAGGTTTTGAGACCGCTTTATCACTTTGGAATCCTAGAACATTAGAAACAACGACATTGGTCCTCACTGTTAACGTGTTTCGAACAAAAAGCGCTAGCAAAGTGAATTTTTTTATGGCAAAGACGTAAATTAATTACGTTAGTAGGCATTGTTTTAGAAGCGTCTTTCTATTCGCTTTCGCTTGATAAGAAGCAAATCCGATAGATTGATCTTACCTGTTCATTAATAAACCTTCATATAAACACACCCATAGTTTCTTACTTAAATACTTGGACGACCCGTTTTCACTGGTTGTGCGGCCTCCAGCATAATCTCCATTTTTCGGAGTTTTCCTGGTTTAGCCCTTGTGTTTCCCTGGAGTCCCGAAGATAGCGTGGACAAAGGCTCCCAGATCGTCACGTCACCACTCCTGGCAGTCGCCGCCCTTGTGGATCAAAGGGAGATTTGCAGCCATGCAACTAGTTTGATACCAGGACAGTGGTGGATCTGGTATCGCTTTACTCTTAGCTGGGCTTCCTCATGGAAAAGCCGGACTCCTTCTCAGCTTGAGATACCCTGCTAGAGAGATCAATCCCACCGCTGTACATCGCAGCGCAACGCTTAGGAACACCTATCAGCCACGATTAAGCGATAAACCGTTGGTAGGATACACATCTGTATATTAATCGACGTAGTGAGTGATCTAAAGTGACTAAATTAGTGGTGTACGTAACCCCGATATCTTATTAATTAATTGCTTTCAAACATCATTTAGTGCTGTCGCTTGGTTGTTTATTGTAATTTCTAAATAGTGAGCTAGCAGTACTAGATTTCAGCCCGAGCAGAAAGTGTATTCGATCGGTTCGAGAACGAGGAAACGAATGAGCCGCTGTTCCCACCTTTGTCGGCCTCGGAGACCGAGTCAGATGCCATCGCCGGCCCACGATCGGTAATCGAACCAAGCCTTTGTCGACTAAACGAGTAGATGTCTGCCAGTTTTTCTTTTCAAATCATTAATATTATATGTGTATTAGCTGGAAACATTCGCAGTAAGGTGTTGTTGGAACAAGCATGGTCTCTAGTTCTACCTTTGCCCACCCAGCCGAATCTCTCTGTCTGAGCAGAGTCATTTTCTTAAAAGTCATTTTATAGGAGGAATCCAGAGCGCTAACCTGCCAAGCTGACGATTTCACAAATGCTATTATGCCTATGAGCTTGATCTTTATATTATACATAATTACATAAGAATAGTACTACGGAAGCATTTGCCTTTGGACCATTACCAGATAGCGGAGGATAACTATTTCAAAAGTTCTCAGCCATTTTTCATCTTCTGAATATCAAAACCTATCCTAGTAATTTCCAAATGAATAAAAGCACAGGTATTTTAGCCAATATCTCTAAGAAAAATTGTTTTCGCTGAGGCGGTTAGAAATTTCAACATCAGAAAGAAATTCTCTACGGAGATCCAAAATAGTCAGCATGTTTTGAGGCAAAGAATTTCGCTCTAGGAATCAACTGCATAAAGTGCTATAGATCCTTCTATTCATTACCTGCACCGATAAACTCCACACACCTCGTTACTTCGTCTCGGTATACGAAGAATACGAGGAAGAACCCCGGCTTGATTTTTATCACGTAATTTGGTCTCATTTCATCATCCACGGCGTTTTTATTATTACACTTAATGAAAACACACTAAAAGTACCCAAAGAAAATCAGTGGAATCCCTTTTTGTTGTCCTCTTATTATAATCCACACGTCATAGAAGAGTACGCCGCAAGGGGAGGAGGAAATAAATTCCATGAGTGAACACCAATTTGAGCTATGTCTTCTTTCATAAAGAAGGATGATTTTGTAAAGAACACCTTGCGGATAGTACTATGTGGTTATTTTCATCAGCGAAATATTTTAGAAGCACTTTGTGGGTACATTTCGTGGTCAGCCGATCCTCACACGTCAGAGGCAGGTCTACGTCGACAACGAAGGTGTGCCGGTGCCGGTGCGTCGCTAGGACGACGACAAACCACCGAAGGCCGACGGCGGAGTGAAATGGTGAAATGCGACTATCCGATCTTAGGAGTTTTAGTCATGGATTCATAATTCATGTCGTCTGAAACTCTGGACATCGTTCTGTTTTGTTCTATACTGCTTAAATTCTTCACGACAGTTTCTGTACGATTCAGAAAGAAATTCATACGGTGCAGAATCAAACTGCTTTTCTAAGATCCCAAGTTTGATTGCCTGCACTTCCATAATCGAATTGCTGAGGTAGACCAATTGTTAACGAATTCACAGTTTTCGACTTTAATCTCACTCTGTTTAACGTAGTAAGGTATTTCGAAACCGACTTTCCTTGAACCTCGGTATCACTGATCGATATGTAGTAAGGTATGCCTACATTGCAGATTCGGCTTGTATTTGACTAATGAACGCTTGACATAATGTACCTAAATTTTCCTTCTGTTATTCAATCGAAGACGAAATACTAAGTGGTCAACTGTTTCTTGGGAAGCTCAGAATCCATTGAACGGTGAGCACCTGGTTCCTTTCCATTGTGTTCCTTCATTATTGGATTCCGCGGCTCAAACAGCACCAAATTATTAAGCTTTATTTCCATTTAAAATTGCAAACCTATTAGTAAGTGCCTACGTATGAGGATTTTAAAACGTCTTTATCTGCATCCAGTTATTCTATACAAAACTTATTTTGCAGAAGGCAATGACGCTTTGTCCTCCGTTGGTAGCAATGGAAATGAGAGCAACCAAACTTTTATTTGATTTTTAGAAAAAAATCTTACAAATTTAATATAACCTTCCAACGGCTTACCGCGTCATCGTAGCTGGGAGGTGTTCCTGGGTGTCGGACTGCGATGCACAGCGGGAGAGTCTTCACCTCAGCAAGGTCGCCCAAACTGAGGAGTCCGGTTTTTACATCAGGAAGCATAGCTAAGAGTAAACCAATACCAGGATCCACCACCATCCGGGTATCAAAGTCGCATGGTGACCAATCTTTCTCTAATGCACAGAGGCTACGACTTCCTATGGTAGCGAACACCTGGGGTAGACTTTGCCCAGGCTGACGTCAGGATTTCAGAGAAGCACAATCGTTTGACCAACAATCTCCAAAAAATGATGATTATGCTGGGGCTCGCACAACCAGTGAGGACGGGCCGTTCGAGTATCAAGTAAGTAAATGTAATATGAAATGGCCGAAATTTCTTGCTGGCCATATATTTAACGCGTTATCAACCGTCTACAAAAAACTGCCGTCCTCTTAAGACTTGCAGGAAGCCAGGCGTTGATTCTTGAAGGCAAAGCAATATAAAACACTTGTATGCATACCTGGAAAATCTTCATGTATTGTACGAACCCCAACAAAACTCTGCTTAGACTGTTACCTTTGCTACTCTCAGAATGATACGTCTTTTGGAGTATTGGCTAATCATGTCACGGTGTTTTCAGCTCGCCGACCGTTGTGAATCATAATAGAGTTTCCAGCCTTTCGACTACACCTACAAGACCAAGAAAGTTTCTAATTAGATCCAGAGATCTATAGAGCTCCACTCCCAACTGCATCAGCAGGTTGAGACGATGGTTTGTGAGTCCTACGAACCTCGCAAATTGAATGAAATTTGATATTTCGCGAAATGTTCTCGCTACTCTAAAAGAGAGCGATAAGCTATTATAGCACAGCACCAAAAATATGCATGTAAAAGATATCTGCACATCACATTATATGTATATATGTATGTATATGTATGTATAAATATATATGTATGTAATTTGGCCAGTTTATTAACATGGAGTCGGTGACAAATGTCTAAACGAGGAAAGCGGGGAAACCCGTGACTGCGACGACAAAGATGACGGCTCGTTCCATTCGGTCGGTGATCTGTCACACCACGTGTCTAAACATTTTGTTGCGCTATTATAGTTGATAAGTTATCATAGAAACCTGTTCTATCTCTCGATAATTAAAAATCACTGAATACGAGAGATAGTGATTAATTGTCACAGTGCGCATTCTATATATCGTCTGATTTGGCATTATTTGTTTCGATTCATGATCCCTACAGTACTATAGTAATACCCTGGAAGTGATTAATTTTCTTAACGGAAGTAGTCAACACTTCTGTGACGTATACATTGTTTCTGCTTCTTTGCACGATCCGTCTTCACATTTACTACGCTGATCGCAGCACTTCTTGCATTCGATTCATTTCTCCGCATTCACCGTCCACGAAGGTCTTGGAATTTTTCCCAATTTGGGTTCGGCTTGCTGATTGAGGATTTCACCTTCCTCATGAATGTCGCTGATTGCTAACCCAGTCACTCCCTGTAGTCATGGGATACTTGGGCTAAACCGTTTCTACCTAGATTGAGGGATTGTGAGGAATGAAGTGTTCCCAGACAAGTCTGCGACGGTCGAACCAGCACCGTTCTCGTGTTGAAAGACATCAGTACGACTGTTCTATCCTCTCACTTATGCACATTATGCAAAATAAAAAGCGAACACAGCACATAGAACTTTTAAAATAGACTCCGTCTCCCAATGCTTAGCAAACCGTGGCTGATCAGTGTTTCTAACTGTCGAATTGCGATATGCAGAAAAGCGTCCATACCCCTGTGTTGAAAATGTGTTAAGTATTTTAATCCGAAAACCGAGCTAAACATAAACCAAGGTCAGGGGCTGGTATGCTGTCACCGATGTGCTCATAATATTGCGTGCACGGTCGAATTTTAGGGCAGCGAATTACGAAAATCTTAGAGAGGTTGCTCTGAAACTCCATGGAAAGGAAGTTTTGCTCGATGTGCAGTCATCAGTCAGATTAAAGAAGTTTTGATTAAAAAAAGTACTTGAACAGCCCTCCGCCACGATTCTTCGTGAAGACGGACCGTTTAAATATCCAAGCATGTAATTGAAATGCATCACGCTCAGACCGTGATCAGCAGGAACGTGCCATTTCATGGAACAACCCAATATTCTAAACCTGAGAACGTTTGGAACTACTTGTATGCACTTTTATCGTAAATATGGTATTCAATGTTAACTTATTTGCTCATAAGCACGTAAAGCATCTCGTTTTATACGATAAATCGTTACTAGTTAACGTCGTAACTCCAACAAAGTTGTGTGACATCTGGGTTATAATATTTCACACAAATCGTTACGGGAGCCATCGCCGTGCATTATCATATGCAGGATTTTACTACGTTGCTACCAAAACTTAACAAGTGTGTAGAGCCAAATTTATTCCGCTGTAGATAATTTTACTTCACTTCCACAGTTATTTTTAAAATATTTCTTAAGCCAGTGGCGCGTGTGGCGCAGTGGTCGGAGGCGCCCCGCAACATACACATGGAATCGATTCCTACGCCCGTTGCTCACTAAGCCTTCCATCCCTCCGGGATCGGCGAATTTGGACCAGACTTGTCTGAGAGGATAGCAGCACTGGTTCGATACATAGGTAGGCCAGCGCGAGTTATTGTAAAGACGACATATGCATTCAATTACCTCCAAACCATGCTTAATGAAGTAGAATGCATAGCGCATCCCTCATGGATTGATTATCGCCGAGAGCTGTATCCTTTATCCTTTATTTCTTAAATCACTCTTCCAGAGGACTACAGTGACCTTCACAAAACTATCGTATAATTTTGAAAGTCTGTATGTATCCTTTTCTGTAGTGGAAAGTAGTTTGGACCCTTTTTAACTCTTACTGAAATGTTCCAAGACTAGTAAGCTAACACAAGGTCGGTGTAGAAGTTTTATTCGGCAGACTTTTGACGTCTTAGTCTTCTGCTGAGTTGGATTCATGCGAGTCGATGGTTCACAGGTTGTTGTCATCTTTTCTATGTGGGTGTCCGTTGTTTTATTAAATCTTATTAAAATTGTTGCGAAACTCCAACACTACCTTCCGGTCCACTCTTTGAAGTATTCTATGACAGCAAGTAGTAGCTGAGATAAATTTACAACCGCTTGTCGATCCTTCTAGTTCCTAATTTTTTAGCATTGGCAGACGAGGGTTACGGAAGTACATAATCTTCGCCGCACCGCACGAGGAAACCAAAGTTAATTACCTTGAACAAATTATGAATGAACCTCGTAGGACTTAATCAGCCCACACCGAAAGCCAAGGATGTGGCCCTCTCCTCGACATCCTCGTAGATCAAATGCGTTGGTTAGGTCATGCAATTCAAGGTCTTTAACTGTACAGCATCTATATCCTGTTGAAAACACGTGTTTTTAAATGAGCAACACGAAAAACGTTAAAACAATGGCTAGGTATTTCCTGAAAGCGTCGAAACATAAGGTTGCTCTGAAGGATGGGAACGCCAACAGATATACTTTAACATATTACAAAGGCAACCGGACAATTCTGAGACGCCTGCTTCATTCACCAGGCCATCAAAAGAAGTAAAGCGGATAGATGTGATTGTGTTATTTCTGCCGACAGCAGAAAGAGGAGGTACTGGCAGATGTAAGAACTCTATGTGTTATGAGAAAACGAAGCTTGCCGACAAACTCGGCAGCGGCGACGGCACAGTGGTGGCGATCACCACTCCCACGTGTCGCCGACACATAAAAGAGCGAGCGCAGCATGAAGTTTAGCCCAGAAATGTCATTCTACCTCGTCGCCTTGCTCTCATCCTTAGGTCTCATTCAATTTGGTAAGTGTTCACTTCGTCACTGATGATGGCTATCAGTTGATAACTTTTTAAAATTTAATAATATCTCCCATGTACTCCTTCGCTGACGACCTAACAGAAGGTTATTATAAAAATTTGTTCGGCCGTTTCTTTCGTTTTTCGTCTTCCTCACAGCCGGAATCATTCGAGCCAGCTGCACACCGTTGTTTATTCCTTTGATGTGGGTCTTCGCAGTCGTGTCAAGTCTTCTGGAGTGGAACATTTCTCTCGAATCGCAGAAATATTCCCTTTGTTCAAGTTTCTACAACAAAAATGGCTATACATCCTTTCGCATTAAATCAACTATATTCAAAGACAGAGTTATTTCCAGTATCTTACGCACGAGAACAAATTCTAGCGTTAATTTTTTTACTTACTGCCTACTACAATTTTCACGAAAGTGTATTATGTGAAATCAATCACACTGATGCTGAGATATTTACAAAACTCGGAGAGGTAGGTGTCTGCGATGGGGATCGAACAACGCTACTACCGCTATTAGCGTTTCAGGGGACGAACACGTCCACCACTAAACCATGCGCGTCCTTCGTCTTTCGTCTTTTTCTCAGCTGGTCTTCTTTTGTAAATTTTAATGTTTCAAAAAATTAAGAAAAAAAACAGTGACGTTCAATTTAACTCTCGCAGACTCCACCTTCTACCGCTTCGTGATAACCAGAGTATATATACATACATGTAAATACATACAAGCGGCCTGGAGAGCTTTCAAGAGCATCGAGGGTTTAGTGAAGAGGACAAAGAACACCCGACTCCGTGCCCACCTCTTCGACTTAACGGTACTTCCTGCCCTAACGTATGTGTCAGAAACCTGGTCGCTGCGTAAGCAGGATAAAAGGTCAGTCAGAGTTATCGAACGCGCAGTCGAAAGGACGATACTAGGAGTATCCCGTTCCACACAAGTAAGTGATGGGATCCGAAGCTCCGATCTGCAACAACGATCAAAAATTAAAGATGCCGTTCTGTACGCCAAACAGTCGAAGATAAGGTGGGCCGGACACGCAATGCGTATGAATGACAACCGATGGACAAGAGCCGTTACCGACTGGATTCCTCGGGATTGCCAAACGTACTGCATCAAGACCACCGACCTAATGATCGGAGTTCTTCACGAAGAGCCTAGAAGAAAGATATAATGCTCGACGAGTCCCTAGAGCGAACAGAACCCACTGGGCTACTCTTGCACGCGACAGGGAAAAATGGAAGATTTACTGACACCCGCTCGAGTCGCTCAACGATAAACGCGACTACAGGTGATACAAATATATATATATATACATATATATATGTACTATATATGTATGTATGCATATATTTAAACATATATGTAAACATATATATATATATATATATATACATATGTATACGATATATACGTAATCAATAAAATAAAGTAAGGTAAAAAGCTCGAATAAATCCTAAATGTCTCACCACGTTCCTGCCTCATTTCCCTCACTCATTTAGGCAGAAGACAGGAAATTAATGGTACTAAGGAATTACCTACAGAAACCAGAGCAGATGGAAAATTCAGCGCTTCATAAATTCTAGTCAAGCCTCCTAACGATCAACCCCTTTTTAAGAGACTAAGATCCCATTAACCTGCGTTTAACAACGGGCAAGCGATCTCGTATTCGAAAATACTCCTAGTTGCATTGCTATACACACATCGTCACAGGTACATGAAGTCATTAGTTCCAAAACAGTTCTCCATATGCTTCATACTACCATAGTAAACACTTATAGATACGGCTTTGTCGGAGACGGTAATGGAACGCTTAACAGCGAAGCTGAACAACCCTCATAGCCAAGTAAGTGAACACAAAGTGTCTCTCCGTAACATGGAAGGCGGCTACAAACCAAAATCGGTGAGTTATTCTACGCGAGTTAATTTTGCATCTCGTAAACGAGCTGACTGCAAATATCGTTACCAATGAATAATTCTCATTCACTTAGATAACTGGAAGCCCGTCCTCACGGACTGCGCGGGCCCCAGCATAATTTCCACTTTTCGGAGTTTTGCTGCTTTAGCTATTGTGGTTTCGTTGAGCACAGAGGTCAGCCATGCCAAAGTCTGTTCCAGGTCGTCACCACCAGAAGTAGTCGCCGCCCTTCTGGATCAGAGGAAGATTTGCCATTATGCGACTTTGATACCAAGACGGTGGTGGGTCCTGGTATTGGTTTCCTCTTAGCTGGGCTTCCTGACGGAAACGTCGAATTCCTTCTCAGCTTGGGAAACCCTGCCGCTGGGATGAATAGTCCACTGTACATCTCAGCCCTGCACCCAGGAACATCTCCCAGCGATGAGGCGGTAAATCGGTGGAAGGATAATCTCATTTGCACTTAATAATATCCCATCAAAGTCCACTGAAGATCATTTCCAAGAACTGGTAGTAGTAGGGTTCGAAACCAAAGGTTTCCAAAGTGATTTTCAACCATCCTCACATTTTAAAATACTTATGTTGTCAACTAGTCACTTATCATAATGCACCATAATGCACGTAATCAAAAGGTCTGGACATGATTTCGGAGCATCGGTCGATACTTGTCTCAATCTTACAAATCTTACCATATGTAAATCACTAAAACTCATATTGCTTCTTGCAGGGATAAAAAATCCGAACTACTCTTGCGCAGTCGTTTCCACCAATATCACATATTATCCAAATTCGTGCGATCTATAGAAAAAACGGGAATTTGAAACAAAAAACCACATCTGTTATTGGTAAAACGACAAAGCCCGTGTTTCTGGGTATCGGGTTGCGATACACAGCCGGGGATTTCAAGAAGAACAGAAAGAAGGGAAAGAATTCATCCCCCAAGCAGGACCTCCCAAGCTGAGGAGCCCTGCGTTTGCATCAAGAAACCCCGCTAAGACTAAACCAATACAATGATCCACCACCGTCCTGACATAAAACTAGTCGAATGGTGGCAAATCTCCCTCCGATCCATAAGGGCGTCTGCCTGTGGTAGTGACGACCTGTGGCACACTTTGGCTAGGCTTACCTCGTGACTTTAGGAAACCACAATGCTTAAACCAGCAAAACTCCGAAAAAATGGAAACTATGATAGGATCCACACAACCAGTGAAGACGAGCCATCCAAGTATCCAATTAAATAAAATTAAATAAAATGATAAAGCATAGTATTCGGCATTGACCAATCCCTAAGGGGATGCACCATGTATTCAATTCCAATAAACATCGTAGAGGGGATTGAATGCATATCTAACCTGTACTATGACTTACGGTGCTCCACAGAGGTATCAAATCAGTAGCGTTAACTTTCCAGCCAAATATGCTACCAATTCGGTGACCCCGTAGGGAGGGAATGCTCGTTGAATCTTGGGCTCGAGATCGAAGACAGCTTTCGATCTAGTAGTGTGTATTGCAGGGCACCTCTATTCACTCCGTTGCACGCATTCCATGGTGTGGATAGACGACATATGAATGTGAATTTAGAAACTGAGCAATGAGAAGCCACCCAAGACACCTCCCTCTGTAGCACCATCAGGTCTATGAAACCTGTTTCCTGAATTTTCTACTTTTAGCCGTACTGATTATTGTTAAGCGTATTGGTTATTTGCAGTTATACGAAGTGGGCAGTTTACGTGGTCGCCCGATCATCACTCGTCAGGAGAAAACCTTTGACAATCACGGCATGGCAATTCCCATTCTTCCGTACAGTGACAACATTCGAAGGATTCACACTAGGCCTTCGTATCGCTAGCAAACCCTTTCCACCAGCTTCTAAATATGATGTCCTAGAGTTCGCCATGAACTTCCATAGTTATTCTCAGCAATACTTAATAGCGATTGGTTGCACAGTACCACTTTCTCTTCGCTGCAATCCTGCCATTTCGACCACACGTAGTTTGCTTCAGTGTGATTTTCTCTTAGTTTTATAATTGGCAGAACTCTACTATGAATTTCGATCAGCAAAGATCCAAAGTTTTTGACTTGACTGCAAATTTAAACTCCAGGATTTTATACTCTGAAACAACCTCTGGCGAAGCACATAGGCTTACATATGAATACAATGGACACGTATAGGCTTCCAACTTCCTTTTCTGCATTTCATTTCACTTCATTTTACTCTCGCTCTCTACGTTTTTATCTTTATAAAAACACATTGTTTTTAAGTCATTGGAAAAATGATGAAAACATTAACGTGCTGCCAAAATCCTGCCACACTCGTGAAATTAGGAGAAAGCATTAGTGGGTCTTGAAATAGCTCTGACTATAACGGCAATATGGCGGGTGTGGCCTAGGTCGGGTGTCACCTTGCAATGCGTACACGGGAGCAATCTCTTCAGCCGCTGCTCACCAAGCCTTCCATCTCTCGGAGATCGTCAAATTGCTACCAGACTTGTCTTGGAGGATAGCAGCACTGGATTGATATATTGGTAGGCTACCACGAGTCACTGTAAAGGTCAGATATGCATTCAATCGCCTCCAAACGATGCTTAGTGAGGTCGAATGCATGGGGCATCCGTCAAGTATTGATCAACGACAACAACTTTAACCTTTAGCTTTTATCACAACGATATGTCTAATCAACCGTCGAAAAGTGTTTGGAGTACGAAGTTATCATCCTATAAGGGAACAACAAATGACCAATAAACCGATAAAACCTTCTACGAACCAATTGGAGAAATTCAAGAGGTTGATAAAAATCTTCAAAACGCGTCACGTGAGTGATGTCTTATAATTATGCGATAACATTGTCGCAGTTGAAGTCGCTTACAGTTGCCAAAACTACCATGCTCTCATTAAATCCGATGTTGGAGAATCAACATTTCCGAGTTGGAATCTCTGCAAAGTGCCTCTCCTCCAACAAAAAGGTGGAGATCAATCCCTAAGTGTTTACTAGGACGATGTTATCAAGAGAATGTCCCCCTTAAAAACAAGAAAAAAACTGTTTTGATGTTCAAAGAGGAACAAGCGCTTTCTCCCACCAGCGATCGCGTACTTGGAACTAGAATTTCTGTGGCTCCTTATCGGGAATGAATGATCTCTAGAAGGCCGAAATTAAATCTGTTGTAAGCTCAGCAATTTAAAAAACCGCTGCATTTCGTCCATCATGAGCTTTTGTATCAGAAACCTAATGTGAAAAACATCGACTTGAATCATCTGCGGCACTACGTGGTGCCTTCGATGCTGGGACAGAGCCCAGAGAAGCAAGGACTTCGCTTGGTGGATACGCAAAACAGAAATGTACATTGTTTAAACAGGCAGCCATAATATAGCATGGCCTTCCGAAGTGAACGTTAGGAATAAGGATCTCCTAAACAGTGCAAATGAAAAGTGGTGTTATCGAAGAAAAGCCCTTATCACTGATTGAAAAAACATGGCCCACATTTAGTTAGAACGTACATACGCTTTTGAAAGGCTAATGAGATCTTACTAAACACAATATGGCTGCAACAACAACATAAATAATGTGATAACAATGTCGCAACTTCCCCTTCTCTTTAACTTCGCTCTTGAAGCCACTCAAAACCTGGAACAAAGCATCCATCCATCCCATATGTGACGAATTTGAATGCGTCATTTAGGAAAAGATCTATACGAGTTTTTAAGGCATTTTGAGACAACTGTATGCTTTCTAAATTTATTCGTTTACAAAATACATAACATGAAATGTTAGAAAAGGGAGACATGGCATGGAGCGAGTGATCGGAGGTATTGCAAGATACTGGTGATGGAAATAAAGACCATAGACCCCGCTAGAACATAGTATAAAACTACGTATTGACTTAAGAGGCAGATCTGCGGAGCTGTCTCTTATGATAGTCGGTCTTAAGGAACCATTGAGATTAGTTACATTGATGAACTGGCCTTGACGACAATAGAAAAATTCCGAAGAAAATTCCGAAAGGAACGATAAAATCTTGAAGAGGTTTCTAGAAAAAATATCGCGAGGTCTATATCGATACAATATCGAAGACGTGAATTAGTTCCCTCTCATCGCAATAACGACCTGAGGAGACAATTTTACATCGGAATGTCCTATGCTCACACCAACCAGAGATCAACGACACCGTCGTGTTAACATGAAATACAACGAAAACCACAAACGGTGTCGATCTAAGCGTTTCGCTCACATGCACAAGAATGAAAAGAGGGAAAAGTAGGAAGAGGGAGAAGGAGGAAGAGGGAGAGGAAGGAAAAGAGCGAGGGGGATAGAGACGAGAGAGGATGAGGAAATCGGCGACAGGTGCCGTACGATACCGTGAAAGTAGGTGCACAAAACAACCACCATCAGCTGGTGATACCAACCATGTTAAACAGGCAAAATAAATGTTAGTCAAAACTACACACACACACACACACACACAAACACACACACACATACTCGTCATTAGAACAACAAGTCGTTGTCAGGAACTCAAAGCACAGTAAGGCGGAATGTCAGTGCTCTGTAAAGTGATCAAAAAATGTATCAAAACTAGGATTAAAACAAGCTACCAATACTTATGAAGCAGTTAGCAATACAGGTGACGGACATTTAGTTGTCGAAAGTGCGAGGAGGTGTGGCAACTTTTAAGGGACGTGTAAAGCAATGGTGAGGCATCGAATGAATCGGTATCACTAGCAAAATGAAACCCGAGTACAAACTTCTTGTACCACACATATATTTGTTCCCGTGTGCTTATCAAACATTATGGCACCTGTCGCTATCTAATTGTAGTGTCGATTCCTCGGTTGGTATCTACCACTACCACGACCCTAAAACAGGTATTTGAATGTAAATTTAACAACAACGAATAAGATTATACGACATTTACAGTTGCTGACTAACGCCGTAGAATACAACTACGTTTATTTAGTATAACATCACCCATCAACCCAACGGTTTATCACTTCATCGTGGTTGGGAGCTGTTCCTCGGTGTCCAGCTGCGATGCACAACATGGTGTTTCATTCCTCCCCCACCAGGTCCTCCTGAGCTGAGGAGTCCGACGTTTCCATTAGGAGGCTCAGTTAAGAGTAAACCAATACTAGGATCCGTCACCGTTGTGGCATCAAACTAACCGGTTGTGGCAAATCTCCCACTGATTTACAAGGGCGGCTATTGCCTATGGTGGTAGAGACCTGGGGCACACCTTGGCTACGCTGACCTCGGGATTCCTAAGAGCTGCTAGGGCACACATAACCACTAAAGATGGCACATCCAAGTATCTAAGTGAGTAAGTAACATCACCCACAAACTTCATAGTTAGTGAACTACTACTTTTTGACATCACTGGAGTAACAAGTAACTAATCATGGACCCTTCCAAAAAACTAGGATCAAGTCAGTAAAAGTCTCAATTTAACTTTTAAAAAAGTCTTAATTTCAAATTCTTCAGTCAAAATTCGCACTTATTACATTTTAAATTAAAGATTTTAAAATGGCCGAATTTTCCAAACATAGAGTGTAACTGTTTTGCAACCAATAAGAAATAACTTGCAAAATATGCAAGAATTCACAATTCATCTCAGAGTTAACTTTATATAAGATGGACATAATTCAACAGACGTAATTCCTGAAAGATAGATTTACAAGTCTTCGAAGTCGGAGGACATTATCTAGCATTTATCACTGAATACTTACTTGGATGGCCCATCCTCACTGGTTGTGTAGGTCCCAGCCTAATCTCCACTCTTCGGAGATTTGTTGGTTTAGCTACTGTCGTTCCCTAGAGTCCCGAGGACAGCCTGGCCAAAGTCTGCCTCAGGTTACCGCTAACATACGAATCTGTCGCCCTTGTGGATCAGAAAGATATTTGCCACCATGCGATCAGTTTAATGCTAGGATAGTGGTGGATCCTGGTACTGGATTACTTTAGCTGGGCTTCCTGATGGAAACGCCGAGTTCCTCCTCAGTTTGAAGGTCCTGCTGGAGTGATAAATCCCCCGCTGTACATTGCAGCGCGACACCAAGGAACACCTTCCAGCCACGATGAAGCGGTAAACCGTTGGGAGGTGCCATCGAAGGAAAAATAGCCATTTCTGTTTTGAGGTTAGGTAATACACTATCAGAAAAACTACATCATTCGTGATGCAGCCCAATAGCTCACTTCAAATAGTAATCCCATTGATCAATGAATAACTCAAGTGGATATCACAGAAGCACAAAATCCGCTAGCTCTCGGCGTCCCAAAAGCACCTTTTGGTAGAACGGGTTTTCCTTCCAATGCTTTGGGCAAGACAGTAGTCACATACATTTCGTCAGGTTCTGCCATGACGCATGCTTGTACCTAGCTCAACTCCCTGATGGTAGTATTGGGCTTATTTCGGCTTGTGTTACTATGCTAAGGAAGAATCTCCGCTGCATAACGCTGTTCGGCACAAAGACCGCCGCCTAGCTGCGATGAAAAATAAGCTATTGAATAGTTGAGCGAAAAAAAATACAACCATTCTAAAGACGATTTTGCTGGATGGGGACGTTGAACCATTAAGAGACAGCTGTCTCAAAAGAAATAGGATGTAAATAGAAAGAAAATGTATTTCCAACAAAACATGTCGATGGCACTTGAAGGACAATTTGCAAATAAACTAAAGAACTCACCTGACTGTAACCTCCTCGATGTGTACTTCCGCCGTAACTTCCGCGATGTGCACCACCACCTCTCCTTTCAAATACCATCGGCTTTTTGTAGTTACCAGGAGACCTTTGTTGGTCTGTATGCGGAATTTTTGGGACGTCTACCACCCTCATATCTACTTCCCGGACGTCCCGACACTCACTTACTAAACTATTTCTGATCAAAAACGGCATCTACATGATAACAACTACGAAGTATGGTAGATTCACTAACTTTGCTGCTGAGACTTCAAGGGGCAAAATACTGCAGCATGCGAATTGTCACCAGTTGCTCCACAAATACTGCACGTTCGCTTGCGTAGCTCTGGGCATGTAACTTTTCCATCTGGACCACGGATTCTGAAATATAACAAACTCATGGAGACTATACAAAAAAGAAAACAGATAAAGTAAAACAAGAAAATAAGGAAATGAACAACTGACACATGAGATGTGGCGACTTCCTCTGACTTCCCAAGGCTTCGACAAAACGTGCAGTCCAACATTATGGAAACTGAGGACGAATATGAAGTTGGTAAAGCCTGCACAGGTACCGTTGGTTCGGAGTCTCTTATACGCAATTCCACATTCTCTTTAACAGGCATATCATCTTCATCCAGTTCCTTGTTCTCGGTTTGAACAACTTCAGCTTTTACCGACATCACGGGTGCAACTGCTACTATCGGAACGGCTGCACGCTTCTCCGATTCCGCCTTAGAAGCTAAAACATGTGTTAGTACATCACTTCTCTACCTTTACATTTTTATAAACCACTAGTTTCGCTTTTTAAGAGAAGAAAACATACCAACAAGTGGAAGAAGCTCTTTGGTGACCTCAGGTTTCAAATCAGATTTTGGTTGAGGTGGTGATTCGGATTTTTGAAAAGTCTCCTGTTCTTTTTCTTCTTTTTGCTCTTCTAAAACAGGTTCCTTGCCCAGTTCATGCCCATCTTCTGCCTCACATCCGTTAGTCTCTTCTGCATTCAACGACAAATCCTGAACCTCAACAGTAACCGTAGCGATAATATCTGATGAATTTGTGTCATCCTTAGGGGTTTCAGCCACTGAGCTCTGCCGGGAACAACTCTGAGGTGAATGGTTGTGCTGAAAAAGTATATATTTACAAGCAGTATTAGTCAAATATAACATCAAACCCCCGACTAGCTTTCCACCTCACCATGGTGTTTAACCCGTCCAAGGTATCATAAGCTTAGAAGCAGTTCGACACTATGATTCAGTTTATGGTAGATCACCACTGTCCTGGTATCAAAGTCGCATGGTGGTAAATCTCCCTCTGATCCACAAGGGCTGCGACTGCCTGTGGTGGTGAAGACCTGGGTCAAACTTTGGTCAGGCAGACCTCGGGACTCCAGAGAACCATAATGGCTTAACAAGCAAATCTCCGAAAAAAGGAGACTATGCTATGGCCCGCACAACCAGTGAGGACGGACCATTCACGTATCAAGTATCAAGTCATGGTAGATTCATGCCACTGAAGAATCCTCTCAGCTAGTCTTGGTTACATACAAAAAAAACAGTAAAGAAAAGTACATCGTACCAAAAACATCACCCTTTCCGCTCCGCTTCTCTTGAATAAATTTATCGCATGACGAGAAGAAATGAAGTTTACTGATGCCCGCACAAGATAACTCATAAGTAACGGGAAACAGGTTATAGGACATGTTATTGTACGGTGACAATACATATTATATATGCATACATATGTGATTTGTACATATATACACATATAAAATATATATTTGCCTAGTTTGGTTTTACCTTATTCTTGCTGTAGAACGACGATGTACCACGGAAACTGGAGCTCATACGAGAATTACGTCCTGTAAAGTGTGTAGAATAGGGCGTCACAGAAATGTGAAAATGCTGACTGACAGATAAACAACCTCGGCCAGGTGAAGAATGCATTATGTGCGGCATACCGAAATGAGATGCCATTACAAATGGTGGTGCTATGGCACTTGGGTGGAACCCGTACATTCGCGGATATGGCAGTGGTCCGTAACTCGAAGATGGCGTTACCAATGGTGGAATGGATGCCGTTGCGTTGCGCGATTCGCTCAGCGATTGCTGAGTGGCTTGATGCATAACACTCACAAATGGTGGCAGTCCATTTGGTACTCCTGGAGGCATGCTCATAGGTCGCACAGGCTTAAATACGGAACCGATAATCAAATGAGTGACTGGTTGTTAAACCCTAAAAATGCTCTTCATTGTGTCGGCTCGCTCTAGCTTCTTTCAGTACATAACGTAAGAGATTAGAAGTAGAACAATTTACAACCTGAACTGCTGGCACGGAAGAAATAAATTCCGATTCACCAAACTGTTCTACTGTTACGTGTGACTGTTCAATCACAGTTTGTTGATCTGAAAACATTTAACGGAAGCTAAAGAAGTGCGTAGAAAGGTAATTGTACACACATACATGATGGATGTGATTGATCTGAAGGTTGGCTTGGAAGCGCGTGATGAACAACAAATGGCATAGGAACCACAACAGGTTGTGAGTGCTCCATCGGGGAATAGCCTACTTCCGCACGGGGAACAAAAACTGTCTAAAACAAAACCTGTATTCTATAGCAAAAAACCATTCCAACTATGACATAGGTAAAGTAAAGACAGTTTGAACATCAACTGAAGAATAGACAAAGTAGGTTGAATTAGCTGTCGCAAACGGAGAATATAAAATAGAAAATGGATAGTTGGCTCCTTAATAGAAAGCCGCTTGAGTGCTCTTGTGATCCGTCAGTGTTCTTTCTGCTGACCTCCTCGATGTAAGCATGTACTTTGTTTTCGGGTGACATGGCAATATTCACGCGTTGATCCGTAGAAAGTTCAGTTCTACGTCGAAAGTTTAATCCGATGCTCAGAACACTTCTCGGCATTACCTCATCGGTGAACTGTGTACGCTATAAATCAAAACCCTTGCCCATTTTTTTCGCTCTTCTTCGAATCTAGAGTTCTTGTCTATGAATTGAGGCATTTTTTCACCGAATACAGATAGATTTATAAGATAGATTTAGATGAAACAAACCAGATATAAATCAGAACCAGAAAACAGTGTTGTATTACTACGTGGGTCTTCACTTTTACGTAGCTTAAACCTTCATGGTTGGTCAGCGTTGCGTGAAACAAAAACCTGTAGTATTTCGACCCCCAAGAACGTTTCTATCAAAGTGAAACGTAAAATCTTAATGGAAGAAAAGAATGCACCTAAAATAACATTTTTCGGGGCACTAATGAATATTACTTCCAGTTCTAATGGTTACCAGATCTTTCAAAAATGGATAAAGTTGGGAAAGTAAGCTTATATACAACCTCACCAGACTTACGTGACCGCCCAGTACCTGCCAGAAACAACGGATGGACCCACAGAGAAACAAAAAGTTCCGACAAACTCTTAAAAACGAGCTACACTTCATAAAACGTGATCGAAATCAATCATACCGGTCGGACTGCTGGTTGCATATACACTCCCGAAGGTTGATAATGTGCTGGTGGCATCACTTGTTGACCAATGTATTGAGGAGCGACCATCTTGAAATAGTCACACAAAAGACTGACAGAAGGGAAAAAAGGAAGCTATTCTTCATCCATACCTGAGGATGCGGCACTGGAACAATAAACTGTCCTCCACCACGTTGTTGAACGGTCATCACAGTTTGTGGTGTCTGGTTCACAAGCTGTGTTTGCTGCTGTGGTTCCTGTTGCAATGGTTGTCCATTGAAAACAATATGCCCGTTCACAGACTAAATCGGCTACATTAGACATAAAAGGGCACAAAAAGCCTTAAATATAAATTAAACTCTCCAAAATGACACGAGAACAGCAATCGATGTCCACTGCCACTCATGCATCGGTAAGAGAGCACTCCATAAGAGTAATCTACTCCGTCACAATATGCATAAATATATAAATGTATATGCACATATCTACATGCATACACGTACATATACATGTAAATATGCATATATCCATATACATATGTATACACATGCTCTTCCTGTCCACCTCAGTTTTCAGCAGTAGAGACTCGATACTATGTGTATTCATAAAGAGTAGATAAAGATAAGACCGAAAAGCAGCCATGTGTTTACAGTGAGACGTAAATGGATTCAGGAGATCGTCTATGAGTCGCATGGACTTAAAACTTATGTAGGCATGAAAATATGTTAACGCACCCACTAGTTCTGCGAGCAGGCATGCGTATTGTGTTCAGCACATCGACTCGGTAAAAAAAAGCTGCAAAGCTGCACTAACGTCACAGCCACTAATAAATAACGGACGTCCGAGAAACTACCATGGTCATATCCACCTCCTATGTACAACTATGATAACTACCTATGGTTTCTTCCGGGTTGAAGAAAAAAACGATGCAAACTAAGCATCATACATTTCTTGAACAAGCGCCTCACAGATCTAAGGTGCGATAAGCGTTAAAACTTCACCTGGGTCCCCAGTTACTTGACGGTCAATAGTCTAACATGTATGCAAAGCATTTACCTGCTGATACTGAACTGTATTCGGTGGATGTTGATTCGGTCCATAATAATGCGTCATAGCTTGTTGCACTTGATGAGCATGAGGTTGTTGCTGTGGAAGAACCTCACTCTCATATCCTGATGGGATCTGTGGGCGCTGCATTGCTACGGTGCCTCCTGTATTGCCTCCCACACCTAAACGCAAACATAAACTGACCAGAACAAAACCGTAACTATTCCTACGTGAAAAAGCTATGACTCAAAGATAGCGAGCAACTTCGGGTAAACTTCAATGTAAGATTTAACGATGCAACCCAAGAATCATTTCCACTTTACAAACACAGCAAGGAACGGTTCAGAAAGTTAAGTTGAAAAAAAGACGTTTTCTGTAGCTTGGTACCTCACCATAATATCCTATTTGCGAGAAGCTTCCTGCTGAGGAATTCACATGATGATTTGCAACACTGATAGGTGGATGCGCCACTCTTGATAGACTGTGATCGTCATAACGTGCACTGGAGACATGATGACTTTGACTACCCATCATTAATTGAGGCTAAATAAAGAATTTTAGCACAAGATCCCAAAGTAAGCATAATTCTCTTACGGAGAAATTACAAACTGTGAAGAGCTAAAGAAAGGCAAAACGACTAAAACAACTGCAAGTGGTGGAATTAAACATACCCTACTGTAAGTCATAGGTTCACAGCCAACCATAGAAGAGTCAGTTTCATATCGTAAACCACGAAAAACAGGCGGGCAGTCGTACTGAAGCTGTAATAATACTCACTAAAGCCTGTTTTAATACCTTAATGGTGCTACTTTCTAACACAATATATCAGAACGTGTAAATGTAGGGCAGTGGTCGGAGGCGCTTTGCAATACACATAGGATCGATCCCCACGCCCCAGACCCACCAAGCCTTCGGTCCCTTCAGGGTTGGCAAACTGATACCAGACTTGTCTGGGAGGATAGCAGCATTGGCTCGATTAAAGGCCAGCTATGCACTCAATCACCTCCAACAATGTCTAATGACATTACGCTTCCATGTGAATTTGGTGCGGTCGGTCTTCACGCGACATACTCAGTGGAAGACTCATAGAAAGCGGCTCTGAGGAAGGCGAAATCCGTCGAAACGTCAGCTTGTGCGTAAATAAAGAAATAAAATAGCACCTCGTGCTTGCTGAACAGAAGTAGAAAGATAATGTCTAATGAAGTCGAATGGATGGCGCATTCCTCAGGAATTCATCAATACCCAGAGTTTTTTAAAGGTTTATATCAGAATATAACAGCGTGTGCAGCGCAGAGGTTATAGGCGCTCTATAATAGACTACAACCATTAATTTAATTCTGGACACCGGGCTAACAAAGCCCTCTTTCCCTTTGGGGCCAGTAAATTGGTGCTACACTAGGCTGAGACGTTAGAAAACACAGATTTGCTACATCGGTAAGGGTAAAATCAGCGTGGCGCATTACGACGTACCTCTTTTCATCACAACATACAAAGGTGGAGATTTCCAAGCTCAATGTCAATATTCCATTGACGGTAATACTATCCCAGTAAGTGTAGATATGAAACAAAACAGTGCCTTAAAGATAATAGCAATGACAATCACTCATCACGGTCATGATCACCACAAGCACGGTGCTAGTTCGATTCTGCTCCGGGCCAACCAAACTTCTCATCCCTTCGGGGTCGGAAAATTGGTACCGGATTTGTCTGTGAGAAATCACTCTTTGCAATCCAATTGGGAACGCTCTAGTCTTGCCCTCCCAGGACTCCAGGTAGAATCGACCCCACCAGCATTCTACAACATTCAGGATAAAATGAAAATCTTTAAGCAGTAGCTGAAGCCACGTAAAAGTTGGAGGATATTCGTGGATAATGGATGGGAAGAAACGAATCGAATTTGAGGAGTGTTGGGATCCGCACAGAAGTGGAGACGGATCAAACAAACAATAAAAAAACATGAACAACCAAACGCAACAAATTTTTGGAAATAAACCTTCTCCTTGTCGAAGTTGCCATCGCATGGTCCTACAAATGTAAATGATTAAAAATATGTAACGAACAGAAAGTCAGACAGAGAGATTTAAGCGAAATCTGATGAAAGAATAAATAGTCGTACCGTACACAGAAGGCATCTGATGATGGGGTCCTCCCGCTCCGTCTTGAGAAGTGAATTGTGGGTGCGGTGGTGGATGGGGCTAAATTACTCTACAATGTCGAAATCTGAACACCTCGACATGGCTAAGTTCTTCATTTCACTTTTAGCAGTTACTAATTTGCAAATAAACGAAGAGATCGCACAAAAAGTCTTCAAAACTAGGTGGGGAAACAGAAGCACGAAGACTTCAGCGGGACCGCATGCTGTTTTCGTGTAGATCACCCACTTATAGGTACTACTAAAATTCATTGCAAGAAAACAACATTGCTAAACTGCAAACAAATGGAAACCATCCCCGTTGTCAAAGTCATAGCAAAATTATAACATACTTAAAATTCTAAAACTACGTACTGATTCCCTCCCCAGAGCTGTGGTCCGGAATTTTGCAAATATCTCAGGATAATTGCTGATGGCACTGGTGGATAAAAAACTAGCCGAGAGAAAGGCAAAACGAAGGACCCGCATGGTGTGGTGGTGAACGCGTTAGCTCCCGGAAAGGGTAATAGCGTGTTCGTTCTCCACTGCGTTCGGACCTGCGGTCTGCAGTATTGCAAATGTCACAGCATCACTGTAGTTACATACTAAGTATATAGGCGTTGTAAGGTGATTATGTAACGAAACAACAACAGTTACAAGTATGGGGATGAAGTACGGTTTTAAAAGAAGTATAAACGAAAAAGGGCACTCACAAATCCTGGAGGTGGAACACGACGTTCCTGATGTCTCATTTGATCATCAGCAGCCAGTCCCGAATCCGGGGTTGTTCTGAACAATTCCACAATACCGTAAGGCACAAAAATCAATAAATATATCACCCGGATAATTTGAAAATAGAAGCAAGTGACGTGAAGCTACTTCGGGATTTGACAGCACTACTAGCAACAATTATGCAAGGATTAAGGCTCACGAACACGGGATTAACGATAGGGATACGCTAGAGCCTCTTTCAGCTCTAAAGCCTCTTATAGAAGTGATAAACATGAGCTACCGAGTGGTTCTTGGCTGTGCGGGCAGCACCGTAGTGTAATCCAACTGAGAATGGCCGCAAGCACGATCTAAAGGCGTCTTGGACATCTCCTTAAACACGTCTCTTCAATACTAGGCACTGTTACTGAATCATGTCCGAACCAAACACATAGAAATCTGAATCCAAGGAACAAACTGCCAAGAGCAGGAGTCACCAAACAAACGAACAAGTTAACAAAGAACCCCGTTTCTGGCGATTCGAACGGTGGCGATAGAACGAGCAAACCGACGAGCAGAACGCGCGAAACACATAAATCGATCGCATCTGAAAGCAGTGGCGGTCGACGAGCTCCCGAACGCGGCCCGCGTCCCTGGGACGACGCCGCCGCCGACCCCGGCCCTGTCCCCGGGGACCCCCGGACTTCCCCAGTCCGTGGCTTCGCTCCGAACCGATTAGCCCCTGTGGACTGCTCCGACGAGGCCTTCGAAATGAATTGACCACCGGTCTACAACATCTGACCTTGCCGATGAGCCAACGTCATCCATCTCAAGGAGAACTGTAAACTTATTATTCTGAGTCAAATTCTTGGACCACCCTCCACCATCTTCAGTGTTCATCACACGCCATTCCGCTGCGGACACTCCGACACAATGGACAACATGTGGGCATTCATGCCGCGCTAAGCGCCGCACACGGAACTTGGACGAGTTCTACCGCCACTTGGTTGCAGTCGCCCATTGGTGTGTCGTTCTGTGTGATAATGCGGTTTCTTAACCCACCACTGTTCAGCTCACTGGTGCTATTACCTGGCGCGTTCCTGTGTTATCGCAGATCTTGCTAAACCCCAATTGTAATACCAGGTATGTACTTGTCGTGACACTAATCCAAGGTTATATGTTTCTCGAAAATGTGGTCCATTAGACCACAAGGTTTCGAGGGTACCCTGGTGTGGCTCGATGGTTGACGATTATGGTAGGAAGGAAATTTGCCGTTCAACTTTGTGATGTGGGGCAGTGGTCGGATTCACCCTGCAATGCACACATGGGATGGATCCCCGCGCCCGTGACTCACCAAGCTCTTCATCTCTCTGGGTCGGGCAGTTTGGTACCAGACTTGTCTGGGAGGACAGCACGGCTGACTCGATACAACGGTACGCCACCGCGAGTCATTTTAAAGGCCAGATATGCCTTCAGTCACTTCCAGCGATGCTTAATGAAGTGGAATGCATGGCGCATCCCTCAGGGACAGATCAACGCCGAGAGCTTTATCCTTTATTTTATACTCTGTGATACAGTTCTGGTTGAAAAATGTTTTATATAATTACCTTGTGGACTCATTTCTATTCTTTATGCGTTAATTTTTCAGGGCTACCTAAGTTGATAGTGCTCTTTCCAGCTCAATGGATGGTGTTCTGAAGTTTCGTGTAGGTGTAGAGGAACCTGCACAGTATGTTAGCATAGATTGTGCGCAAGTGGTACTGTGGACGGATCCATGTCTTCCCAAAGCGGACCCTAAAGTTCGAAGACGAAGTCGCCTCGATGTTTCAGACGTAGTAAAGTCAAAAAGGAAAAGTATAGGTGCGATTCTTTCCCATTTTCTGGATTAACGCGTCACTTAGTGTCGCTACAGAATTCTTTGACCGTCGAAACTCCAGAATTCGGCGACCCTATTGAAGCCTCAATGTTTTTGATGAGCTACGTGACCCCTTTACAACTTTTAAGCATCTATGCGCATAACAGAGGTGGGGCTGTTCTTTAACCCTTAGTGACTGTCCAGTACGCTGCACTAGATATAAAGTTGTCTCAATGAATTATCGCAAGCAACACAACTCTCGTCAGAACTCCAAAATCCTATGTTCTGGGCGGTGTTTGAGAAACACAACGGGTTTTAAGGAAAAATTTATTTGCAAAGTCAAACTCTTATCTAGAGTTTAACCCCACACAGTGGTTTTCTTAAGTATGCGCTAGGTGTATCTACAGTCAAGCGGTATGAAACCCTTATTTTTCTTAGCGTTGTTAAACTGGTAGTAAACTGCATTAACATGTCGATGCCGTTTTTAATTTGGCGAATTATAGCAAAAGTTAGGGCTCGTGTGGCGCAGTAATTGGAGGCGATACTGCGACACACGTGGAATCGATCTTGGCGCCCATGTCCCACTAAGCCTTCCATCCCTCCGGTGTAGACAAATTGGTACCGGCCTGGTCGGGGAGGATAGCAGCACTGGCTCGATACATCGGTAGGCCACCGCAAGTCATTGTAAAGGCCAGATCTGCATTCAATCACCTCCAACAATACTTAATGAAGTCGAATACATGGCGCATCCCTGAGGGATTGATCAATGCCGAGAGTTTTATCCTTCATTTTTTTTATAGCAAGAGTTATGTCTGCATTAACTATGAAATTGTTTTGTGTGATCTGCAATCTCTTTGGGGCGATTGTAGCGCTATGGTCGGAGGCGCTATGCGATACATATGGACTCAATGCCCGCGCCCGAGGCCCAACAAACCTTCCATCACTCCAGGTTCCTGGTACCAGACTTGTCTGGGAGGATGGCAGCACTGGTTTGTTACATCGGTAAGCCACCGCAAGTCATTGTAAAGGCCAGATCTGCATTCAATCACCTCCAACAATACTTAATGAAGTCGAATACATGGCGCATCCCTGAGGGATTGATCAATGCCGAGAGTTTTATCCTTCATTTTTTTTATAGCAAGAGTTATGTCTGCATTAACTATGAAATTGTTTTGTGTGATCTGCAATCTCTTTGGGGCGATTGTAGCGCTATGGTCGGAGGCGCTATGCGATACATATGGACTCAATGCCCGCGCCCGAGGCCCAACAAACCTTCCATCACTCCAGGTTCCTGGTACCAGACTTGTCTGGGAGGATGGCAGCACTGGTTTGTTACATCGGTAGGCTAGTGGGTGTCACTGTAAAGGCCAGATATGCATTCGGTCACCTCCAACGTTGCTTAATGAAGTCGAATACATGACACATCCCTCAGGGATTAATCACCGTCGAGTGCTTTATCCTTTTGATTCAATCTGTAACCTCTTTAGTTTTGGCAGGTTTATTTTTAACTGTCAAAATTTTATGATTTTCAAGTTATTTGGGATTGTTTAGGACAGAGTGTTTATTTTAGAACAACTTTGTTCACAGCTGGTTTCGAATGCACCATCGGACGTGTTACCATGTATGACGCCTTCAACGAGTAGAAAATCAGATGAATCTACAGCTGCGGAGAGCAAGAAGCCACAAAAGCCGAAAGTAGTAAGTTTTTACGTGAAATGAAGGAATGGACACCCAGGGTACCAAGCAGGGATTATTTTGATTGCTATTCGGACTCATCCGCTCAACTTAACAATAACACTCTTGCACGTTTTCCTTTCTATACACGTTTATTATCTCCTAACAGAATGATAATTACGGTGTTCTTGTGTTTCTGACAAAGTTTTACTTTTTCTTATACCTTTAAAATTACTTTCGACGAGAAAATCCTGAGCAGTTAGCAGTTCTTATATAAGCAGTTATCTTATGTAGTAAAGTTCCAATGTAGAAGATTATGTGTGGTGCAACTTCCTCTATCCTAGTGACTGTGTTTCATTAGTATTCGAAATTTCAAGATCACCATTCTCAACCTTGGTAAACCGAAGGTTTTGCCTAACCGATGTCGCTCTTGTCTCAAGATTTTGCACGGGTTCAGACCATTGCCTCAGCGCAAGATTCGTTTTCTTACGGGTGCGAAAGAAGGCGGCCGAATTCAAAAAACGCAGAAGGATAAAAAGGAGGGCAAGATGACTAGTAGCCGGGATTTATTTGGACTGTTAATCGGCTTTTGAGAATACCGTTGTTGACAAAGTCGACAACGGATGCGGTCCGCCTATTCATCTTCCCGTCATGCTGTGAAGGCTGGGAATTTGTAAGCGAAGAGATGCCTGTTTATAGGAAGCCTCGAGCTAGTACGCTATCTCGGAATCTCTTACCCTTTCGATAGATATGTCATCCAATTTTCATATGAAATTATGAAAAACAAAATTCGACATGCTCTTTCTTTGGTGAAGAGTCGTACAACAACACTTTTTCCACTTTTATAGATTTTAGAAAGGCCTTCTACTCAAGAAAAAAGCGGCGGTGGAAGTTCTGGAAATCCAGGACTTGTTTACTCAGTATGTAAAGATTCTTCATGAACTTTACAAATTTGACGTAGAATATCGTCATTATAGAACGATGTTAACAACGAAGTAAATAAAGGGGTTCTACAAGGCAATACCATCTCACCAAAAATTTACAACTAAACTCGAGAACGACATGCGAATATTGGGATGGCACAATATGGGAGTGGAAGTCGAAGGTTGGCAATTACGAAATCTTCGATTTGCTGATTATATCGCTCTTATAACATCGAGCTTTTTGCAGAGGGAACGGATGTTGGCAGACTTGGGCAATGCTTAGGGGTGATTGGTCTTAATATGAGTTTTACGAAAGCGATGTTTATGAGAAACGGTTTTATTTTTCATGTCTCATTTACAATTGATGGAATGAATATATCGGATTACTTCAGCTATTATGTGTCTCGGTCAGGAAGTTAAGATGATGGACAGGATAGGAGGATGTGAGCGGCTTGCGAAACTTGTAATCAAGAGTGCAGAGAAGAGGACTAAAGACATCAAACTCCATGCGCTTCTTTTCGACTCTTCGATTATTCTTACCCTAATGTATCCGTCGGGAACATTGTCGACATGTAAGCAGGAGGAAAGGTCACTTAACGTTATCGGTCGTGTGTTCGAGTAAGCCATGCAGTTTTCAGTACAATTCAAGTGATAGGGAATCCGAAGCTCCGACCTGCTTTAACACATGCTCCGCGATTTTGGCGTAAATGTCCAAAAGTTGGTGTTTTGGATCTATGACCTTCTATATTCATCCGATTGCTAATAAAAGGTATGTGGGGGATGTCGGTTCAAAAAGCCATTCTCTACACGTATTTATTCACAGGGATGCATGTAGCACAGTGGTTAGAGGTTCTCTATAACTCACGTAGGTCCGATCCCGCGCCTCAGGGTCACCAAACCTTTTATCCCTCCAGGGTCGGGGTTGGTAGCAGACCTGTCTGAAAGAGTAGCTGCGCTCATTCGATGCATTGGTAGGTTACTGCGAACTAATGTGTAGACTAGACTATTTTCTTAGGTTAACACTAACTTAACACTAAGCTGATAAAAGTTTCGTTGGGTAAACACTTTGATGCTTTCGCGTTCACCTACTTCAGTCCCATATTAGTTTGAGTCGTTTGTCCACAGGCTATTGTTCTCCCGTTATAGGTCTTCGTAGTCGCGTTGAATCGAACCCGATATAGTGGATCATTGCCCAGATCTTATTGCCAACCTTGTGTTATTTTAATAGGGAAAATATTTGTTTTTTATACCAAAGTTGAATAAAAATTGGTCGAGGGATCGAACCAAAGTCCATGTGTGTATTACAGTATATATATAACAGGTTCACCAGTGTTCTTTGTTGTATTAATGTGTTAACGTAAATATAAGCGTAGTGAGGGCTTGCTTCTTCTTTGTATAGCTGTGTTGGTAAGATGTGTTGCAAGCCATATGCATGTACTAAAACTTTCGAAGTGATTTCTGACTACAATAATGCTGAGGTATTTCGCTGTTTTTCTTCAATAAGCAAACATGATGTTGATATCACAAAATTTATTAGGATACAATAGCTGACGTTTCGGCTGTTTCGCCTTCTTCAGAGCCTGGAAAGGTCAAATTGACATGCGATCTACTTAGCCAAACACGTCCGTGACGCTAGGTGCATAATAAACAGCTTCATTTAAACACCCACCAGTTATTGTTGCAAGTATTCTAATTGGTTGGTGGAGAGCAGCCGCACATAGTAATAATTTGGAATCCAAAACATCAGCGCGAAAACTGTTGAAGCGTTTTGGATTATTTCCAAAAAGTCAAAAATGAACCGCAAAGAGGAGTGTCTTGTCATCACGCGTCACCTAGTGCGACACCTCAGGCTGATTCAAGGACATGACACGAGCGCAGTCCTCGCCCATGTATTACTCTGTGAGGCTGCTCTCCACCATCTGATTGGAATAATTGCAACGAATAAACGATGGGTGTTTACATGAAGCTGTTTATTATGCGAATGCGAATTAATGTGTTAAGTTTTATCTGCTAGTGTTATAAAAGTGTTTGACTGAGTAGATCTCATGTCAATTTGACCCTTCCAGCCTCTGAAGAAGGCGAAACCGCTTAAAGGTATTATGTCCTAATAAATTCTATAATACCAACCTCGTGTCTGCTTGTTGAAGAAAAACGGCGAATTATCAAACAATGCCGAGGTTAATACAAAGTCGGTCGTAGGAAATGCTGAGAAATTTGTAGTGCCACGGGCTACAGGTCTCTGGGATGGGGAACGAACGCGCTATTACCCTTTCTGGGTGCTAACGTGTTCACCACCACACCATGCGGGTCCTTCTTTCGCCTTTCTGTCATCTAGTTTTGTATCTACCCGTGCCATCAGCAATTATCACACGTAATACCCTGCTATGAAAAATTGTAAAAGGCGGCAAATAGGAAGGTTAACGTTGTAAATTTTGATGATACTAGCTGATGTTGAGGAACGACGATCGATCACCATCTCTGGGAAAAGGCACGAATACACGGCACAACCTTGTCCACATTGTGGCTGCAGGAGGGTTCGCGTTGTGAATCCTGGAAGAATGGACGGGCGAAATATTATGGAGTGCACAAACATCAATTGTTTGGCTACGATTAGGTTCACTAAACTTCCAGCCGGCACTCTAATCAATCCTAGTGGAACGGTGACTCTAGTTTACCATTAATAGATTCTCATACATGATTTCGCTTTCTGATTACTAACAATTTCAGCCTGAACAGTTCAGTTGGTATGATCTTGATCCAGGAGAAATCTTTTACCCTAATGCTATCACAATAAGGCGCTTAGAGGAAAGGTAGACCTTGTTTGCTTTTAGTTTTCATTGTACAAATTTTACATTTAGCTTGAAATCTGCCACGAAAAAGCGGTTTACGCCGGAAATCGGGTACGATGCTGAAGGATCCGTTGTGGTGCGTTGTCCTGGTCAGAGAGAACCAGTGAAACTGTTATAAATTTTTATTGTAGAAAAGTAGGAGCCGACAAAGGAGTTGTCTGCTTAGATATTTCTTATCTTTCTTTTCCATATTTCTTTTCTCGCTCTTCATCCACAGAGCAAAATAACCTGTCGTTTAGACTGTGGGTCATCTTTCCGTCGTTGATTTGTTCTCATTGTAGCAATTGTTTGCTAAATTTGGAGGTAAATTTCCTGGTAGCTGTGTTCGTTGAAATGGAATAGTTTGGTTGTTACCGTTGTCTTTCATTGCCACTTAGCAGGTAGTCCATTTCTAAGCCCAACTAATCACTGTCGGGTTTTCCGGAAATCGATGCAGTTTTAAAAGTGGATTTTTTTCTCCTGTATGTTTTGACATTTCTCTTTCGAATGCTGTACTATTATACTATTAATACTATTATATATTAATACAAAATATATTTTATCCCTTTTGTTCTTAATTCTTGACAATTTTTGCAGGTTGAAAATTGAGATTTCGAAAGAGTACAAGTTGGTAAATAAATCTGCTTTGATGAATTTGAACTCAGTGCTAATACGGAGCAAACGGGGCCAAACGTTAAGGAACCATTGGACGCGTGTTATTGAATGCACAGTGCAACCTTGATTTGGAAGATTTCGTCGTAGCGAGTCCATTCGTGGAAACGATGAAGCCCTACTACTTCCTCAGGCGTCCGGACAACTTCCTTAACAGGAAATAATTCAGAAGCGAAGCCAAAGCGAAATCTGCTCCTTACTCCATCGCATCTGGAACACTATAGTTATGTGCATCTGGGATGAATGTACTTGTTTTTCATAGGGATAGATGTATGTACTCTGATGGTTTCTTTTTCGATTAATAAAGTTTATTCTAAACAGAGATATGCTACTTAAAGGATACTGGTTAAAATCCTGCATTGATTTCCAAACAGCCCAATAGATTTCTTAGGATTTTAAAGGATTGGGTGGCCAGGAGCTGTCTCAATGTCCAATGTTTCTGAAGAACTAGAAGCACCAAAGTTGCCACAGAAGAAGTTCTATCGGTATCTAAATATATATCTTTGTATATTAGTATAATGGAATGCTGTTACGTCGTCTCAGACAGCTGTTGCACTTCTTTATTTCTCGCTTTAAGGTCATTTCGTTGAAACACACTTTAGATACGCTTTAGTTGTTTATTAGTACTAACAACAAGCCATTAAGACAACGTGCTCATTCGAATCCTCACTCCGATCATGACATCGAATATCCAAGGACACCGGACGAGTAAGTCTAGTGATTTCATTGGCAGTGTCTGCTGTCAACAGACCTCTCATATTTACAACCTAGAGTCTTTCAGCATGGACTGGGTGAAGTTGTATGGTGATCTGGCCCGTAGTAGGCATGTCGAATTCGCTGATATCGGATGTGGCTATGGTGGTCTTCTGATGAATTTATCTCCGTTGTTTCCCGAGACTCTTATTGTTGGGCTGGAAATACGAGTAAAGGTAGGGTCGTGTACGGGTAGTGCACTCACCACTTAACCACAGTGAGCCAATGTTTTGCAGGTTTCAGATTTTGTTTGTGAGAAAATAAAGGCTCTTAGACTGCGTTCTGCGGAAACGAATGGCTATCAGAACGTAGCATGTCTGAGATCGAATGCCATGAAATATTTACCTCACTACTTTCATAAGCATCAGCTGTCGAAAATGTTCTTTTTGTATCCGGATCCACATTTTAAGAATAAGAAGCACAAGTGGCGGATTATTACACCGGGATTGTTGGCCGAATATGCTTATGTACTGCGGTCTGGGGGTTTGTTCGTTTTTCTTTTCTAACATTATTCTTAACGAGAAGGTATTATTCGTTAGAGATTTGTTGGATAATGGTAATTGCAAACTATGGCTGATTTCGGCATTCTAGGGAACCACAATGAGTAAGCCAGCAAAACTCCGAAAAATTTGAGGTTACACTGAGGCCCGCACAACCAGTGAGGATGGGCCATCCAAGTATCCAAGTAGTTGCGAACTCTGGTCATGGTCAGGTCTGGAGATCAATCTAGGATTGAGTGTTATTTCCTAGTTAAACTTGGTGACTATTTCTAGTCTTCACTGTACTTCTATTCAGTGGTGTCGAGGTTCTTCTCAGAGTTATTGGAAAAAATATTCGTCCTATACGGAAATGACGTGTTGTTGCCCGTTACTTCGCAAGCTGTTCATTTAGCAGTTTTATAGGATTACTTCTTTTTAAGTCGGCTGAGCGGAAGTGGGTCATTAATACAGGGTGCTGTAAGAAATTATATCATCCCTTGCGACAGCCACCAAAAATTAGCGATCATCGTGAATGAATCAAGGTGGTGTGCACTTTCTAGACAAAAAGGTTCAAGAAGGAACACGAAAGGATAAATCTCACTAGAATAACAAGTGATAGGGGGTTCCCCGCAATGTGACAATCCATTTTCAAAGTCGTAGAGATGTAAATAGTCCCCTACAGTGCTTCACGGAGATGGTTGAACAGAGTTAATGGCTGATTTATGTTTTTAGTATATGTTAGCAGTTCCTCATCGTCAGAAGGTAGATATAGTTCAGCTAATTAGTCTTGAGACTCGAGACTTGACGTGGTAGTACGTTACTTTGTGGGACCAAGTAGTATACGTTTTATCTGAATATGGCTGATGTTTCGCAATATTTCAACGCTTTCAAAGCCCTAAAAGTGTTTAGTTTTAAAGATCAAAGGTAACGAGTCTTAGCTTTCTACTACTTATAGTCATTATTACTTTCTTATTATCTGTTTATATGTAATTAATTCTTCGCGTCATAGTTTTAGTATTGTTATTGAAGGTTTGGTATACACAATTACTGATGTGAAGGAGTTACATGAGTGGATGGTTCAGCATTTTTGTGAGCATCCACTCTTTGAGCGTGTTACAAAAAAGGAGGAGGAATCTGACCCTATTGTGCCGTTATTGTTCGAGAGGTATTTACTCCGTTTTTGCCAATAACATCTTTGACTTTACTTGTAATAAACATTCATTGAGAGAAGGAAATAGCGTATTTCGCCAGTTGTTTTAGACACACATGAAACACAATGTTTAACGTTTTGTTTTCTGCCTTCTATAATTTTCATGGCAGGTTACTAAGCGAAATACAACCACAACGTTGCTGAGATATTTGCAAAACTCTGGACCGCAGGTGTCTATGGTGGGGAACGAACGCGCTATTATCCTTTCCGGGGAGTAACGCGTTCACCACCACACCATGCGGGTCCTTTGTTTCGCACGTCTCTCAGCTATTTCTATCGATCTTTTTGCCACAGCAATCACCCGTCAGCGGGGTTGATCTGGGGAGCGCAAATCGGCATAAAACCCAGTTAAGCTATGGCTGTAGTTGAAATCACAATGTTTAACGTTTTGTTTTCTGCCTTCTTGACGGGTGATTGCTGTGGCAAAAAGATCGATAGAAATAGCTGAGAGACGTGCGAAACAAAGGACCCGCATGGTGTGGTGGTGAACGCGTTACTCCCCGGAAAGGATAATAGCACGTTCGTTCCCCACCATAGACACCTGCGGTCCAGAGTTTTGCAAATATCTCAGCAACGTTGTGGTTGTATTACACATGAAACAATTTTTTTACGATCAATCTTTCATATCTACTGTGCCGATCTCAGCACTTCTCACAGAATCCACGATGTTCTTCTAAATTCAAGGTAGGTCTCGGCTGCTGCTTGAGGTTTTTCATTACATCTTGACTGTCGCAGAATGCTGGTCTAGTCGATTCTGAAGGGAATGTTGAGATAGCTTGGCTAGAGCGGTCCAACTTGTATTGCAGAGTGATTTTTTCCCAGACAAGTCTGGTGGCAATTTCCCGACCCCGGAGGGATGAGAGGCTTGGTGAATCCGGGCGGGATCGAACCAGCACCAGAATCGTACACAATTCTTAGTACAGTGAGTAAATTTATTATCTTTGTTGGCAATTCCTTTTATTAGTCAAATTTGAGGTAAGGGTGGATAGTACATCGACTCAATGTTGGGCATGACGACCACAGTGCTGTTTCGATCCCGCTTCGGGCTCACAAAGCGTTATCTCTCTGGGGTTGGCAAATCGGTGCCGAATTTGTTCGGAGAAAAGTCACTTTGCATTCCAATTGGGGACGCTCTAGCACGGCTCTCTCAGGACTCCTCTGGCAATCGACTCAACCAGCATTGAACGGCGTTCAAGATGAAATGAATATCCTTAAGCAGCAGCCAAAGCCACACGTATAAGTTGGAAGATCGTCGTGAATAATGATTGCTAGGAAACGATTCGAATATGAGAAGTGCTGGAATCCGCGCAGTAGATGTGTTGATAGGTCGCATAAAATGAAGTGATTTGACGTTACTTGAACAGATGGTAGTTAGCTTTTATAAATGGCGCTTATTTCTGATTTTTTCTTTTTTCTTTTTATTTCTGATCTGCAATTATGTTTTATTTCAGTACCGAAGAAGGACAGAAAGTTACTCGGAATGAAGGCGATAAATACCCTGCGATATTTAGACGAAAACCGGACCCTAGTTGGTGATTTGTGGTTTACTGACTCGCCTTGTGACTTCTGATATTCTATTGTTGTTAATTTTCCATAGAAAATAAAGTCTTTTGTTGAAACAAATTATTGATGTTTTGGGTTGAGACCAAAATATTCCATCATTTGATTTATGCGTAAATTTTGAAGATTAGGTGTTTTCAGCACCAGTGAGGATGGACGAGGACGAGTACGAGACTCTACCTACTCATAGTGTTGGGGTACTATTTCAGATATCAGATTATACGACCTTAGAAAATAATTCAATGAACTGAGTTTTAGAAAGACGTGGTTGGGTAAGTACGACGTTAATGTGTTTGCAGGTTCATCTAATGGCTGGTGCTTTAGCTGGTGCAGCAGAGCACTGCTTATTGTTTCCATTTGACAGTGTTAAGACGCGACTACAAAGCTTATGTCCATGTCCTGAGATGAAATGTCCCACGCCTGTTCACTCTCTATGGAATATTGTGCGGAGGTAGGACACTCATTTTTTGAGGCTTATGTTCCTATTCATTCCTTTTTATTGCAGTTAATATAAATTTTCTTTAGTTGTTTAAGTCTTCTTTTTTTCCTACTTATGTTGTTCCAGAGAGGGATGGTTGCGGCCATTACGGGGTGTGAACGCTGTTGCAGTGGGATCGCTACCAGCACACGCTCTGTATTTCACTACATACGAGAAGACGAAAGTAATAGTTTATGTCAACCAACATTTCCGATTTCTTTCTAACATACTCTTTAGAAATTTCTCACTGGTAACACTGCGGGTCATGCAAATACGTTGTCTTATGGTGTCGCTGGAACGTTGGCAACACTGGTGCATGACGCAGTCATGAATCCTGTTGAGGTGGCGTAGCCATGTTTTTATTTGCTGCACTTCTATGAACGATAGTAATGTGACAGTTTGTTTAAGGTGGTTAAGCAGCGGATGCAGATGCAATTCTCTCCATATGGTTCGTCCTTAGAGTGTGTCCGTTGTATCTACAAACGTGAAGGGATGGTTGCATTCTATAGGTCGTACACTACCCAACTTGTTATGGCTGTTCCTTTCCAGTCCATCCACTTCATGACCTACGAATTTTGGCAAGAAGTATGATGACCTGTGTTTCAATGATTTCCTAGCGCGAGTACGAATTACTCCATTCTTCGCAATAACATATTCAGATTCTAAATCCTGAACATAAATATGATCCACGATCTCATTTAATTGCTGGTGGATTCGGCGGAGCACTTGCAGCGGCGTTGACAACACCGTTGGATTGTGTAAAAACAGTGTTGAATACTCAGCAAACTCCAGCTATGGTTCAAGAAGACGTGATTTTAAAGGTACTCATTGTGTATTCTTTACTTATATAACTACATGAGTTCTTGCATTCTACTTTTAAGGTCCACGCTGGTGATTTACGGAGCATTTGCATTAGTGTTCCATCTTGTCAAATTGTTATTTAATCTCTAGGCCTTCATATAAGTTCGAGTAATGTTCCTTTCATAATTTTCCACTGAAAGAATATAATTAGAACTTTCTCTTTGTAGAAAGCTACGTAGTCTTGACGGTTTTTTAACGACAGCGTTTTTTTTTTCAGACAGCAGGAAGCTATCGAAGTATCTTTGATGCTTGTAAAACTATCTACTTACAACGGGGTCTTCTCGGATTCAGTTGTGGATTGCAAGCGCGCGTTATGTTCCAGGTACATGCATTTTAGTTGCCGCGTATATTTGGGGTTTAATTTCTCTGCGCATTCGCTAAGAGTGGGTATCAACTCATACGGAGAGACATCTGTGTTTTCTCCTGAACGACAGCAGTCCTGTTGGTCAGTGTTCTCTTTAGCAATAACTTTCTCTCTCGTTAAGCTAACTCCACTGAGAAAAAACTTCTTTCGTATTACTGAGTGTACGAATTAGGTGTCCGGGTGCGATGCGCTGCGCGATAATCTGCTTTCGATAAGCTATCGGTTGAATACAAGAAGTCTAACGAAAAACATTTGAACAACCAAATGAATAGTGACAGAGGAGATGAGTTGATATCAGCTGGTGCTGATATCTACAATAACCTCTCTGTAAACGCAAATCCACTCATGTCGGTCTCTAAGTGTTAAGCAATCGCTTGTGTTCTGCTGTGATATATCCTTAATACATCTGATCATTGGCAATATAACCCTTTCCTTCCGCACAGGCTCCTGCTACGGCGCTGTCATGGTCCGTGTACGAGCTGTTCAAGTATGTTCTCGGATATTCATCAAAGTCAGCTTAATGCACATCACTCCTGTATGCTGGGTACGAAGGTTTATACGATCTAATGATTATTATTGTCTGTGATCACAGCGTAGCCTGCGAAGATGCAATTCATGTTGAGTGATTTTGTGTTTTTCGGTGTTCCACTGAAGGCAGTTCGCCTTTCAGTGCATCCTCGGTTTCTTTCTTCTATCTCTATAGCTATTCCAGAAACAATCTCTATCTTTATCTCTTCGATATGCTTGATAATGATGTTTTTAAATATAGAAATAGTAATGTATTGACTGTATTGTTTTGATCCCTCGTCCAATAGATGGCATATTGAGGCAGGCACTGATTGTATAGTCAATATCTGATAGGAATATATTTTCTCGTCGTTACGACAATGTAGACGGATTTTAGAGGAAGTGACGTGATTAGCTTATTGTACTTGGATGAAGGCCTTTACGTCAAAAGTGTTGAACTGAACTGCATTTGATTTTACTGTATTGTCAAATTCCATTATCTGCATGGAACTTGAGTGCTAGTTTGATACTAAGCAAAAGGAGGTTTGAGTGACAAACCTCATTACTTTCATTCATTGAGCGTGTAAAATTCTGATGTCATGGACTTTAAGCCACTTAACATATCTATTTTCTCCTTTTGGTTTTTTTAAACGTTGTTTTACAGGTGCAGATGTTCTCGCAGAATACTCAAGAAAGGACATAGTTTACAAGTGAGAAAATCACATCGTTGTCGCCAGTCCTTATGCTTCATGTTTGAGCTCTTGGATTCTCGTAAACTTAAGCTATGTATAACCTTGCTGTAGAGTTTGTACCTTATTTGTCTCACTACATAGTATTAAGATATTCGCGACGACTTGCCTTTGTTTCGAAGACAGTGGCGATAGGACTCTTTTAAAACTCGTTGGCAGTTGATCTTTGACATTCCGGTGTCCACGACGGCGTCTCTTATTGTGGGTCAAAGTTTCAGGTTCTCTCCGTTGTTTGATTCGGGATACTCTGAGCATCGTCTTCCCGGCTGTACGTTCCATAGCGTTGAGTGACCGTTGGTCCTGGTTGCTTGGCGATCAGATTTCCGACGTGTACTACGGGATACCAGGAATTGTGGATTCGAGAGTAGCCACGGGAGGACTACGTGTCTATCACTGTGTCTCCACATGATGTGTTTTATCTTGCACATTTTAGTCCGCGTCACTCCGTACTCTCACTTTTTACGGGCATTGCACACTATTTACAATCTTTACAAGCCAACACCATTGAAAGAAGCCTAATGTATTTGCTACATTGATTATAAATAGTGCTAGCCCGCTTGCTATCTTTGTCATTGAAAGTTCGGAGTCCTGTAATCTTGTCAGTAAATTAGAGCAGCCAATACAACATGGGTGTTTGCGGTCACTTCAGGGATGTGGCTTAACGAAGCTGAACTTAGTTGGGGGCTATCTACCGGAATCGGACATAGAGCAACGTGGGTTTTAAGGTCAGTCGAAGATATTTTTGGACACTCGCAGTAAATTGATACTGGTATTAACGGGAAAGAGGGATGAGGGGATTATGGTAACGGTGAATCTTAGTGGTTTCAATGCAAGTGCGGCAAAAAATTAGGCTACTTCCCGTGCGATTCAGGCCGACATATGCATTCCTGGTCTAGCTGGACTGTGGTGTCTCCTTATCCATTTCTACTTTTCTTCCGAGTTTGAGTCCCAATTTCTTCTTTTTTTTCTTGTCATGGTATTGTTTATTATGAGAAATATGATCATAGTGATGCTTAGATATTTGCAAAACCCGGACCGCGGGTGTTTGCGGTGGGGAAAGAACGCTCTATTACCCTTTACGGGTGCTAGCGCTTTCACCGCCACATCATACAGGTCCTTCGTTTCGTCTTTCAGCCGTGTTTTTGGTCTATAAGTGTTATCAGTAATCATCCGTCAACGCTTTAGCTCCCGGAATAATTTCAGATAGTTCTCCTTAATAGATTGGTTTACGACGTTGTGATTTGTAATGTTATGTGTTGTGAGGTCTGGGGTTAGTGTTCCCTGGGTTGTTCGGCGTTCGTTTCCGTAACCTTTTATGTGAGAAGGGAAGATGTGATTCATCGAATCAATTAATGGTTCTGGCGGTTTCTAGGGCTATAAGGACATTGATCCTTACCATTTTCTTCAGAACACTGTAAAGAAAATGGTTTTGTCAGTCATCAATTTCATGACAGTTCGATGGCTAATGAATCTTCTAAACGATTCAATCCATTGCTGTAGTGTTTTTTACTCGTTCTTCTATAGTCAGTTCAAGTTGAATATCTCGCTGTGTTCGAAACAATGAATTCGAAAAGATTAGTGAGAGATTGCTAATGAATTTTTCAGTTCAGGGAAAGAATTCGTTGTCTGCTACATCCAACTAAAACATGGGTAAGATATTTAAGCGGTATTGATGTCAACTTATTTGATAAAGTATTACAGCATGTTCTGGAGGCAGCACTGGACACTGTAGCGGAGCGAAATGCGTCCTGTACACGGCTGGATTTATACTCAGCGGTGCCGCTCTGGGATATATCGTAAGTTGTCCATGAAGCTATCATTGTTTGTCTATGTGGTCATACTCTTATTGCCTTTTTTCGAATTCTCTAGGGTTAATAACTCGAAAGACCGACTTTCTATGAACCTCGGCATAGATAGTTCATATATTTATTTATGTGATCTTATAAACCGATCTTCTTAAGCTGACGCGAGGTTGGTACAGATCTTCGTTGTCGTTGTCTTTGTCGTTGTTTTTGATGTTATTGATCGATGGCTGACGTTTCGGCGACTTCGCCTTCCTCAGAGCCTGGACGTACTTTATGTTAGAATACTTTTTTATTATTCGGTGGAAAAGAAGGTTAAAGTATTAATGAAGATTAAACTTTCAAATAGACGCCATATTGAACAGAAAGGCCACTCACCGTGATGTTACGTGCGGGACTGGCCGACACGTAGTTCACGCGAGCAAGACACACCCCGGGGTCAAAATGTCATTTTGAAATAGGGCGCCAGGTCACGCGTGATAGTGAGGCATTCGTCCTTCCGGTTCATCTTTGGATTTTTGAAATTTATCCAAAACGCCTCAAGAGTTTTGCGCGTTGATGTTTTTGATTCCTGCGCCAGGATCCGCACATTCACTTCAAAATCATCGCCGTTGTGCATTTGTGCCCTATGCGTACCTAGAGGGGTGTTTAAACGGATTTTAGCTTTCCCATCTAGATGTTCTTTTATGCGGACACAAAGTGGTCTACCCGTTTTCGCGATATATTCCTCTCCGCATGCATTACATGAGATCAAGTATATTATACCTAAACTCATGCAATCCCCGTCTCTCCCGATGGGGCAGATCATACAGTTTTTTGAGCTGCACAAACGATAACAGAGACGGTTTCGAACTAACTGGCGGCGTAGGGTATTGAGTAGGATGTCAACAATCGTTACATAATTTTCAGGACCACTTTATCTTAAGCGCTTTTTAGTGGCGTGATTTACTTCATTTGATATGAAGGGTAGCTTAAAGGAGATCTTACTTTCGTCTGAAATATTATTTTGGGAAACTACCCAATGTTTTCCTCTAACCCGAGTGGCTTCTACTTCGCAGCCATTGGAAATGGCAATTTTTCGTGCCACGTTTCGCGATTCCTTCCTTTCCTCCTCCTGTACACACATTTTTAGCCGTACGGTACATGTTTTTGATAAGTGCCTTTTTCATGTGTGAAGGATGAGAGGAGAGGCAGTGGACTAGAATGTTTTTACTGCTTGGTTTGCGATACTATTTTGTTAAATAGCCACTTACTGAGAGCTTTATTTGGATGTTTAAGAATGGAAGCCAGTTCTCGGTAGGTTTTTCTCGTGTAAATTTTATATACTCTGACTGTCGGTTTAGTAAATCAAGGCACTCATCCATCTGTTCTTGTGTGGAACATACGATGAAGCAGTCGTCTATGTATCGACAGTAGAGTAAGGGTCGGTGATCGAGAACTTTAGCTTCCACCTTAGACATGAAAGCGATGGCAAGGCTTGGTGCTAAACGCTGCCCCATCGCCAACCCTCTAATTTGTGCAAAATATTTTCCAGACCACCTAAAAATTGAACAACTAAGACACTGTTTTAAGAGGGTCATTAGTTGCGCAATCGACAAGCCGTGCATTTTTATTTTTTTTCATGCTCTACGAGCAACTCGAGAATGGCTTGCATTGCGGAGTCATTGGACACGTTGGTATAAAGTGAACTAACATAGAATGACTCCATTATATGCGTGCTGTTTGGTTGCGCGCGCCTTAGGTGATCTAGAAATATTTTGGTGTTAAGTAATCAGCTTAAGAAGATCAGTTTATAAGATCACATAAATAAATATAACTCTAGGGTTAATTGAGATAAAATTCATGGATATTGGTCGAAACCAACGAAAAACTCCATCTACTGGTCAAAATAGACCAAAAAATCTGAAAATTTCTG